TCAACAAGGCCAAGGTCAAGGTCCTTCCCCTGGGTCAGGGCAACCCCCAGTATCAATACAGGCTGGGGGATGAAGGGATTGAGAGCAGCCCTGCCAAGAAGGACTTGGGGGTACTGGTGGATGAAAAGCTGGACATGAGCCAACAATGTGCGCTCGCAGCCCAGAAGGCCAACTGTATCCTGGGCTGCATCAAAAGAAGCGTGGCCAGCAGGTCAAGGGAGGTGATTCTGCCCTTCTACTCTGCTCTGGTGAGACCCCACCTGGAGTACTGCGTCCAGCTCTGGAGCCCTCAGCACAAGACAGACATGGACCTGTTGGAGCGTGTCCAGAGGAGGGCCATGAAAATGATCAGGGGGATGGAACACCTCTCCTATGAAGAAAGGCTGAGAGAGTTGGAGTTATTCAGCCTGGAGAAGAGAAGGCTTTGAGGAGACCTTATTGCAGCCTTCAGTACTTAAAGTACTTATACTTACAAGAAAGATGGGGACAAACTTTTTAGCAGGGCCTGTTGTGACAGGAAAAGGGGGAATGGTTTTAAACTCAAAGAGGGTAGATTTAGACTAGATCTAAGGAAGAAATTTTTTACAGTGAGGGTGGTGAAACACTGGAACAGGTTGCCCAGAGAGGTGGTAGATGCCCCATCCCCGCAAACATTCAAGGGCAGGCTGGATGGGGCTCTGAGCAACCTGATCTAGTTGAAGATGTCCCTGCCCATGGCACGGGGGTTGGACTAGATGATCTTTAAAGGAACCTTCCAGTCCAAACTATTCTATGATTCTATGAATATGGGAATGAATTGCCAGATTTTTACACTGAGCAATCCCTTCATATCATCCTGACCTCAAAGTACATTCAGAGGATTACAGGTTCAATATAGTGTACATGCCAGTATTCTCCATTATTAGGTTCAATATGATAATTTTATCCAAGAAGGTAAAAAAGACATAAGTTTGGAGCACCAACTAATAAAATTCACCATGGCGTAGACAGAAATACATCATCATTTCCCTATTGTTTCCCCAAATTGTATCAAATTTGATTCCTTTAATGATTTCCTTCAGAGCCGTCATGTAGCCTTGCTACTTTTGAGGATGCCAGGATATCCAAATAAAGTGTAACTACATTTCTTACTGGCTCGTAAAGACTGATGTAAAAGAACTAGTGTTAAGTGTGTAGCCATTCATATGAGAAAATGGGAAACAAGGAGATGTTACGTGCACACTTCTTGTGTAGAACCTTCTCTTTAAAAATCTTCGGTCTACTTCATCTTGTTTTCTCCTTTTATACTTTACTGTCTTTCACTCATTGTTTTACTATGCTTGCTATTTACTCTGTCAATTAGGTAATTTTCCCTATTTTGTGGCACATAACAAAATAGACAATCTCATTGAATACCTTTATAAAATTTGCAAACCAAAGGTACGAAAAAAATTTTACTTCAGCAGCAGGATAATGAGTGTAACGGAAAAGAGAAGACAGCTGAAAGATGGTGCAGAAAAGGACGTAACTGAATCCTGAAAAATCCTGGATTCAATTGGCATTGTTTCAATTAACATTTATTATAATGTTAGAACCATTGGCTTGATTCTAACAAAACCAATTAGAACCAAATGATTTGGTTAAAACTTTTTTTGCGCTCAATTGAATAGTGATTGCTCAAAGTATATTGAGCTGGTTTATTTATCAGAAATAAATGTTATGCCCAATCTATTGAACCTCCTCTGTCTGGACTTGCACTGAAAGTAAATAATCCCCAGATGTCTCTTTTAACACAGCTTCAGCGCCCTGGATCTATCCACCTCCAGGAGGAAGGAATATGCATGTTTTATGAGTCAAAGCTCAAGATTGCACAAATCTTCAACATAAGACCTCAAATGAAGTACGAATTAATCCCACTTGCATAAGTCTGCCCAGACATGACAATCCCTTCTTCCTTCCTTCCCTGTAAAATACCTGTTGTCCAGAATAACTCCTGGTTCATACACTGAAGATGGATGATACAGCCACAATGCATCAATTATTTAAATACATTATGCTTTCAGCCCCAAAGCAGCACTGAACTATTTTATTCCCAAACAATAAAGCTGTCATAAGAATTAGAGTCAGAGCCTCATGCAATTGCTCAGATATGGCTGATAGAACTTAATTCCAAATGGTGATCAAACATATTTCACAAGCAAAATTATGGGCTGTGTTTAATGTTTAATCAAGTGAAATTTTCTAGCCAAACCACAATTCTTTCTGATAAATCTTCATGTACAAAACACTTTCAGAAGGATTTAAATATTTCTACTTCCCTGGAGTAGCAAAAATATTTTGCATATGAATTCAACTATTAAATTTCTAAGTGTTAAGAACCCAAATTACTAGTGGGAATGTCTCAGCTACAGTGGGATATCATGAAGGGAATCATCATTAGCACATGGTAAATAAATCAGAATATTTTTAGCCAAAGAGGGAAGTAATAAATTTTGATAAATATTTGTTTTAAAAGACAAGTAAAGAATTTAATGTACCCCTCAAAATATTCCACTAATGTATTTCACTAATAAGAGGAACAGCAATGAAAGATTATTTAGAAGCATTTAAATAACCCTTCAACCCACTTCCAGGAGGTTACCTCATTGATACTACTGTTTCAAAGCTTTATCTAAAACAGTATTAAAAAAACATTAATGATAAACCTGCCATTTGGTTCTCCTCTTTTTTAAAAATCATTGATATTTCAGTGATAATTTCTAAAGTGAAAATTTGAACAATTTTCCATAATTAAATCATACTTCTAATATTACAGTTCACCTACAATAATATATATTTTCTGTAGTCATTCTTGTCATCTCCTTCATAGCATTAGGCTCATTAATCATTCAAACGAGAAAAATGCTCCCTGCGTTATTGAATATTTATACTTCACCTTATTAAAACATTTTCTTCCAATAAATAGAAGAAATTTCTCATGTATAGATGGAAAGAAGAAAAACATGTATCTTTTTAAAATGAGCAGGCACAGAAACATCGTAAGGTATATACCAATATATAAGAACTGTACATTTCAAGTATTTAATTATACTACCAATAAACAAAATAATTTACCTGACCAGTACTGGTAGTTGCCATGCTGTTTTCTGCTGCTCCTTGACCTTCGTTCTGCCTCTCTGTATCATGGGAACCTGCATCATGCTTGCTTTGAGGTACTCTCTGTTAATACAAGAATTTATGAAATCACATACAGAAGTGAAGTACACTTTACCATTCAAAGCTCCAGTCTAGAGACTGTGAATGCATCAATGCTGCATCCTCACAAAGCCATTGAACAGTACTCTGTATTTCATAACCCTTAGCCTCAATAATTAACAGCTGAGACTGAGTGTCTTCGAAAAACAGCAAGATGAAAGTGAAGCACGTCCTCTGAGGATTATATCCCTGCAAGACAAAGGATTTGCTGTGAGACACAGAAACACCATTTTCTACCAGCTGTGCTCCCATCGCTGTCAGAAATGTAACAGAATTGGAGCAAACAACTGTCTTCCCTGCACTGTCCCGTGATCTGTGCATTTACTGGAGAATATGCGAATAATTTCTGCATGAACAGAAAGGTATCTGTACTGTAGGAATCCTTCTAAATTTTAAGGACAAACAGTGCATGAATAACCACTTTGATGCAAATAAATTTTACATAACCTGATCCTGATCCACCCAATCATATTTTATCAAAATAAATTCAACTCATCTGGCAAGCTGGTACAGACACATTTCAGTTCCTTCAGGAGACCCAATTTTTGATACAACTACAAACTGGTGTCCCGGTCACTGACAGGGATCATGAGATCAACACGAAAATCAGGCCTTTAAATACCGTTTCTTAATAAAGCAAAATAACTGAGCAGTTATGAAGAGTGTTAAGTATCCAACATTACCTACTAATGTGTTTAAAATGTTTCAGATTTTCAGAAAGACATAAATAATCCTGTCCTTGAACGTGGCTTGAAGTCTGGAGCTGAAAAGGTATCATCCTACCTCCGAAGCACGATTATTCTCATAGTATTAGTTTTGATGCCAAATCTCATTTTTCAGACTCTGAGGCTACTACCTTAACAGACAACACTCTTGTATCTCTCTCAATTGATTTGTTTAACTACACTTGGTATATTAAATTCAGTTTCTACACGGCTCTGCAATGTTCTTGAGCAGTACAACCTGTGATAGCATAGTCTGCCTCATTTTGCTTTATGGAAACTTCTCTTTAACTTCTCGCAGAAACATACTTGTCTTCAATGTACATACACTGAAACTTCTTTAGTTACCTGCTGCTGATCAAATTCCTACAGTATCATAATTAAAAGTTATTCTTTTAAATCTGATCTGTAATTTTAAAAGTCACCATCTCTGTCATTGTGTATGAAATGACATTGTTATCGATGCTCATACAATGACTAAAGAAATTTTGGGTTCTGATACAAAACGGGGGACCCAGTCAAGATCAGGCCTTGGTGTACTACATGCTGAATAGAGTATAATGTATTATATGCTGAATCCCTGCCTCACAGTACTTTCAATCTTGAACAAGTGTAATGATGAGTTTGACAAAATCTAGATCTAAGCCTCCAGTATAACTCAAGACAGAATTTTCCAGTCATTAGGTGACAGTAATTTTCAATCCCATGAAGCAAGTGGTATTCAACGTACCTAGAAGCGAAAAGCTGAACTGTTCATTAGCCAAGCTCTGACCCACTGGGTCACCTGAGGGGCAATAATGCTACTCTTCCAAGAACACTGCTGGGTTTGGGGCAATTTTTTTTGGGTGGTGTATCTATTAAATAGTTTTGATGCATCTAGAGCACAAACATGGAGATATTTCATTCTCTGTCAAGAAAAATTTCTGCTCCCCTCAGCACTCTGTGTCCTCCTCCCATTCACATACATTTTGTTTGTTACATGCTACTTATGAAAGATGTGGCTTCCCATTCCCCTCAAGCGCTCTCAAAAATACGCCACTACAAAAAGTAGTCAACGTAACACCCAAATTAATTTATAATTATAAGGCAATTTTTAACAGTTACTAGCAAAGCTTATCTAACTTTAAATGCAGTATGCACTCACAACATGCAAAAACGTTACTGTCACATAAATCATCAGTTGGGCTTGAATGTCAAATCTCTAAGTTCACACTGAAGAGTTTTTACCACTTCAGCCACTGAAGTAATTTGAAGTGAGAAGCTGTTCTCTTCATGCAGACTGGCCCAAAGGAGTTAACAATTACACAGGCAGCAGATAACAGGTATTTATTGAAAACCGATTCTTTGTATAAATAGATATTTATTATAGATGTATTAATATATCTAAGTACCAGTGTATATTTATTATATACGCATATTATATAAAATATAAAAATGATATGTATCCACATGCACATATGGATAATTAAAATATATTTTTGTATAGATATAGCATGATTTAAATAAATTAATATTAATCTGACAGACTGTGGATTAGTGGTTATAATGACAGTATAACCACTGCAAGTATGCCCCCTCTTCGCATTACCTTTTAACACTGCACGTAGGACCTGTGGATGAAAATATATAAACTACCAACCACATCAGCAAAGAATCAGAATGCATAAACAGCAGCAGGCTCTGTAACCTCTACAGGAGATACAGCAGCTAGAGAATGGCACACAGGTCCCCTGGGTTAAGCAGCACCACCTATTTTGAAGCATGATTTTTGAAGAGGTGTAAGCTGGGTTTATAGCCCTCTGCCATTTCTGAACTCTGGCATCACACTACAAAAGTCACTCTAATGGAGTATGCTTGTTTCCTCTTGCAGCAAAATGGTGGAAGACTGCACGTGCCTATTACAGGAAGATGGAGCCGCTCCCTCCATCTTATTTGCCACTATCTTCTAAGTGCTTCTGAAGTCAACAATAACTATCACTTGTCAATTATTAATTTCCCTGATTTACTTGTAGAAAAATGATAAATCTCTAGCTTTTTTATGACATTTGCAAGCATAGTAGGCCTTGATAATTTTTGCTAAGACAATCAATTACAAATAATTTTACCTAACACTTTGTCAGTATGAGTTGCCAAGGCAGCCTGCTGTGTACTTATTAGGACAGAAGACTTTTGCATGCATAAACCACTGTTTTTTCCCCAATATTGAACTATCCTATTATTTTCTGTGTATGGAAAACTACAGATACACTATTATTTTCTAGATATAAGAAAATATTTATTTTGTCATTACTTCATATTAAACACAATACACATACAGGTATAAGTAAGAAGGTAAGCCAAAGAACAATGCAAAAAAAGAAAAATAAGAAACTGTAAGATTGAAACAATTTTGCTACAGTTGAGTCAAAGAAAAAAGAAAGTCTAGTGAGTCAAATCCTTGAGAGAACTCCTGTCCATCACCGTTTAAACAGTTTAAAGTTTGCTGAGCATAATCTCAGTATGGAATAAATCCTTTACAGGATTTTATCTACAACAATATTGCCAAATGGAAATACTTCATGTATTTCAAACGACAGATACTATGAAAGAAAGGCCTATACCACTATAACAAATTGAAAACCCCGTATTAAACACTTGCCAAGAATTTGCTTTTTTCTTTTAAATAATTTCAGATTTGTACCTGACAGCCAAAAATTCTCTTTGGAGGGGTGTAATTCTACAGTGGATTTCAAACCTCATTATGAAAATCTTGCAAAATATCTAACAGAAGTCTCACAAAATTTGAAGGTATCATCACTTTCAGGTAAATTACTTCAACTCTTTCTAGTAGCATTTACAAGACTTAGTAATATGCCAAACCTTAAAAATGTGCTAAAATGTGAGCCAAAATTTTCTCTCATTGATTTCCAAAGGCCATTTTTATGATGCAGTATTATATTTGGTCTTATTCTACAAGATATATTGCACTTGGATTTCACAGTGATTGGCATCACCACAGGGGCCAGCTGTATCAGTAGACAAACTATGGTATTTATTATCGTTATTACTAAATCTTAATAAACACAAGGAGCAAATTCAATTTGGATATCACTATATCAAGCACAGTATAAAAATAAATGCCTCATGTTTATATTTTTAAGTTACACAGACTCTGCAGTGTTTCAGTTACTGCTACTACCTTCCTCCTTGCCACCAGGCAATTTCAGAACTAGATCCAGTTGTTTGCCATAGGAGATGGCCATCCTTTGGAAGTGATTAAAATACACTATAAAGTACTAATAAGTGTGTAGTGACTGCCTCCTTTACCACAGCACCCTGGTAACTCTGTCCTAAAATTTGTAACTATACAACCAGCCATCCAGATAAGACACACCACTACAAAATTTCCGTATATTAGAACTTCCATGTATTCAGCAGCCAAATTAATTTGGTGAAAGGAGTGAAGAACTAAGACAAGAAAATTCCGTAGTTGCATTTCAATGCTGTTTGAACCCTTGAGCTTACGTGAGTCCAAAATACAGTGGGTTTTTTTACCAGAGTAAGAGATAAACACTATGGGGACAGGATCTGTCTGACTAAATGGGGCAAAAGTATCTGCTGAGAGTCTGGCCAACCTGGTAGGGAGAGCTTTAAACTAGAAACGACATGGGACAGAGCAATTCCCCAACAAACAATTGGGGATTCCGTTGGGGATAGGGCAGGTTAAGGCAAGGGCCCTGGCTGATGGGAATACAAGGGCAATCAACGCAATTGAGATGAAGTGAAATCCCCTTAAGCATAGGCATGTAAGGAAGGAGGTGCAGCAGAAAAGCCTTATGGGGAAAGCTCTCAAGCCTGTGCTGGGGAATCGGCACGTTTTGGGTGCCTCCCTGGCATGCCTCTATGCTAATGCACACTACATAGGGAACAAACACGAGGAGATAAAGTGTGGGCAGTCATGGGGCTATGACCTCACTGGGATCATGGAGACATGGTGGGATAGTTCATATGACTGGAAGGCTGCAATTGAGGAATACAGACATTTTAGGAAGGACAGGCTGGGAAGGCTCAGGGGAGACCTTATCGGTCTCTACAACTACCTTAAAGGAGGTTGTAGTGAGGTGGGTGTTGGTCTCTTCTCCCAAGTAAGAAGGGATATGATGACAGGAAATGGCCTCAAGTTGCAACAGGCGAGGTTTAGACTGGATAGTAGGAAAAATTTCTTCACCGAAAGCGTTGTCAAGCATTGGAACAGGCTGCCCAGGGAAGTCGTTGAGTTACCATCCCTGATGGTATTTAAAAGATGTGTAGACACTTAGGGACATGGTTTAGTGGTGAACTTGGCAGAGTTATGTTTACGGTCGGACTCGATCTTAGAGGTCTTTTCCAATCTAAACAATTCTATGATTCTAAGGAGAGGACGGGAAGTTGTCCTTTATGCGAGAGAGCAGCTAGAGTGCATGGAGCTCTGCCTGGGGTTGTGTCAGGAGTCAGTCAAGAGCTTATGGGTGAAGATGAGCAGGCAGACCAACATGGGTGCGGTTGTAGTGGACATCTGCTAAAGACTTCCTGATCAGGAACAGATGAGACCTTCTCCAAACAACTGGAGGAAGCCTCATGTGTACAGACCCTGGCCCTCATGGGGAACTTCAACCATCCTGGTGTCTGCCAGAGGGGCAATAGCAGGATGAAACATTCTAGGAGATTTCTTGAGCGCTCTGATGACAACTTCCTAACACAAGTGATCAAAGAGTCAACAAGGAGAGGTACTGTGCTGCACCTGATACTTACAAAAAAGGAAGAACTGGTCAAGGACGTGAAAGTTAGAAGCAGCCTTGGCTGCAGTGACTGTGAGATGGTAGGGTTCAGGATCCTAAGAGGAGGGAGAACAGCAAAAACGAGGACCACAGACCTGCACTGCAGGAGAGCAGATTTCAACCTCTTCAGGTATCTTTTTGGAAGAATCCCATGGGATACAGTCCTGCAGAGAAGAGGGGTCCAGGACAGCTGGCTGATATTCAAGGATCACCTCCTCCAAGCTCAAGAAAGGTCCATCCCAACAAGTAGGAAACAAAGCAAGGGCAGCAGGAGGCTTGTATGGATGAGCAAGAAGCTCCTAACTGAACCTGGGCATTAAAAGGAAAAGTACAAGAGGCAGAAGTGGGGTCAGGTGACCCAGGAGTAAAGAGTTGCTGTCCAATCATGCAGAGATGTGAAGGGCAACAAGAAAGGACTCTACAAGTACATAAACAGCAAAAGGAAGACAAGGGAAAACGTGGGCCTTCTGCCCTGGCAGCAGTCAGCAGGGTTTTACAAAGGGGAAGTCTGCTTGATCCTTCTACCATGAGGTGACTAGCTTGGTGGGTGAGGGAAGAGCAGCTGATGTTATTTACATCAACTTTAGTAAGCCTTCAGACACTGTCTCCCATAACTTCATCATAGACAAGCTGACAACATATGGGTTAGATAAGTGGACAGTGATGTGGATTGAAAACTGGCAGAACAGCTGGGCACCAGAGGGTTGTGATCAGTACAGTTGGAGGCAAGTCACTAGTGATGTACTCCAGGGTCAATACTGGGACCAGTACTGTTCAACATCTTCATTAATGACCTGGATGCTGGGACTCAGTGCACCATCACCAAGTTTGCAGATGACAGAAAACTGGGAGGAAAAGCTGATACACCAGATGGTTCAACTGCCTTTCAGAGGGACCTGGACAGGCTGGAGAAATGGGCTGATAGGAAACTCATGCAGTTCAACAAGGGGAACTGCAAAGTCCTGCACCTGGGAGTGAACTCCAGGCACCACTACCTGCTGGGCGTCACCCAGCTGGAAAGCAGCTTGGCAGAACAGGACCTGGAAGTCCTGGTGAACAAAGTGAACATGCTAGCAATGGACCCCTGTAGCAAAAAGTCCAACAGTATCCTGGGCTGCATTAAGAAGTGTGCTGCCAGCAGGTTGAGCGAGGTGATCCTTCCTCTCTACTCAGCTGGTGAGGCTGCATCTGGAGTACTGTCCTGTTCTGGCTCTCCCAGTACAATAAAGATATGGACTTACTGGAGAAAGTCCTGTGCAGGGCCACAACAGTGCTTAAGGGACTGGAGCATCTCTCATGTGTAGAGAGGCTGAGAGAGCTGGGACTATTCAGCCTGGAGAAGAGAAGGCTCAGGGGGGGATCTCATCAATATGTATAAACACCTGGATAGGCTAATATGTCAAAAGACCAGGCAACTTTAATTATACACACTACTGTCTGCTTCACTTATAAAACCAGATTTTTCCCATAATCGTGGAATTATGAAACCATTATTTTTCAAAATGGAAAAATATACATCCCTTAGTAATCCAAATGCTGCTCTGAATTTTCACAGTAGTTATTTTGGGTGAAGACAAACCATAAAATATTCAGGTTCAACATACAATTTATATTTAATTTACCTGAACAAGAAATGGAGTTGACCTTGTAAGTGAATTTCCACTATGAGAGCAATTTTTGCTAATGGCAATTACTACTATGGACTTTGTAATTTACAGGAAACGTTATCTTGTATTTCTTAATACAGAACCCAATACTTAAACACTAAAAATACGCCAGGCTTCTTTAATGAAGTCTGACAGAAGCTGTATTCACCCTCTTTTTAATCTTATCTCCCTCAAAAGAAAAGCAAACCATGAAATGCGTATCAGAGATTCATATTTAGAAAGGCATGTACAACTGATTGTTATAATTATTTGCTAAAACCAAGACTCAGCCTTTATAATACATTGCACTTTGCAATTTTTACTGAAATTTCAGGTTAAAGTTTTAACTGATGTATCATTAGTGATTAAAGTTCAACAGTAGCATGAAGACTAATCCAAGTATTCCACCCTCAGTTCACTGGTAAGAGAGCAAGTACCAGCCTATGTATATTGACTAGTTGATTAACTGTGACATCACTAGCTGATGGAAATAATCCTGCCTACCACTTCATTCAAATAGTTCGGGTTTTTTTAGAAAAAGATACATACCATAATCAAAAGAAGGCAAGTAACTGCTCACTAACCTCTGCTTCAGCTGCTTGTGATTGCAGGAGCTGTCTTATACGAAGAATGTCCTTCTCTATTTGTTGAATTCTCGCCACTCTCGCCTGAAATGAATGCATTTTTCATGTTTGATTTTGTTCAAAAACTCCTTTTACTTACTGTACAGAATAACAATATGAAGAGTTCTTTGCAAATACAGCTGACTACAAAACAAAACTACTTCATTCAAGTGTTCTTCATAATAAAATACAGGCATGATTGCAAACATTCGAAATGTAGTGAGTAGTTGTGTTTTTAATATAACTGATACTCATTTGGATAGAATAGGTTGTCACACAGTACACATTCAGGTATAGAAAAATGCTCCTGATAACTTGCACAATTTTCCTGTTTCTGAAACTGACTGTGCAGATCTTTAGCAGATTATTTGACTTTCATCTCAAATCTTAGAATTCTACTTGCCTTGCAGAGATATGAGAAATTTAGATTTGCGGAGTGCCTTGAAGATATGAAATCCTGAATGACTTCTAGTATATTCAGTTATTATAATGATTTGGGAGTTTTGCGTATGCACAGCCTCTGAATATTTTCTGCTCCTACGAATCTCAAAAAATTTAACAGGCTAAGTATGAAGAAAACTACATACTGCTTCTTTGGTTTGTCTGGGATTTTATAGAACCTTTTACAGCCATATGGTTACTCATTTCCCACTGCAACCATTCTGTGGTTAGTAAAGGGAATGTTAAAAAACCCAAATGTTACAGGATACATATACTCCATACAAGTTGTACTGTGAAGCACAGGATGCATTATGATTCTGTGAAATCGTAAGTGTATTAAGTTATATATCACTGTATGAGCTTGATAATTTAATAAATGGACATTATTTGACTTCAAAAGCAGGCAGAAAATAATTAGCCCAATAGTATCAGGATATGAACAGAACACAAAACTGATTAAATAGTATTTTTTTGTGTGATGGATAGCTTAATAAAATGGGCACATAGTTGAAAGAAAAATCCTGATTCTTTCACCTGATTAACATTTACAATGCTATATTGAAAAAGGAAAGGCTTTGTGCATCTAGTGGACACTGCAAGGATCAGCATTATAACCAATCTTATTTAACACCTTTATTATCTGAAAATGGAAATAAGATGAACTTTGAAAAGGTGCTAATGCCAGAAGTTACAAATGGAATAGAAACACACAATGTTATCCAGAAATTTTAGAAATATAACAGAAAATATAATCACAAAAAATAATGAATTTCTGAAACATGGATCATAAGCAGCTATGGGAAAAGTATCATAAATATCAACATTTATTAGACATGCAAAGCTATGAACATTAAACTATAAATTTAATTTGAATTTGTAAAGCAAAGTATCAGAAAAAATGCCAATACAAATTTGAAAGCTGCACACACAGAAGCTTCAGCACAACATGAGGCAAACAAATAATTCATCCTCCCCTTCCTCCTGGATCAAGAAATTCTTAAGTATTAGAAAGATAATAAAAATATATTCCCAGAAATTACTGTGCATCAGTGAAGTGATGCATGATTGACAGAATATGCCTCTCATTGTCTTTAAGAATGACTTGAATTTCCCCTAAATTGAGTTTCTTTTTGTGTAACCAGCAATTTATTCCATAAAGGGCATCAAAAGAATCTGAGTATCTGTATATACACATCTAAACATGGGGAAATATTTTTGTGCAGATGAAAAAAAATTAAATATTGTATGATTTGCCCAGTATCACTGACGGAGTCCTCAAAGGGACAGGAATTCAATCCACCCTTCCCAATTTTAGTGCAGAGATTGAAACATCAGACCATCCTTCTTCCTGCTAATTCATTATTTGTATTACAGGAAAATTGAGGACTTCCATTAACCAGGAGCATGTTTTGTACCAAACACTGTACAACCAGAAAAAAGAATGCGTTTCTTGCCACAAAGGTGTACAGCCTAATGGCAAATGTGGAAAATCAGAGGAACACAATCAAACAAGCACCAGGAATGGTTTTAACTTTAGAACCTATGCAAGAAACATCACTTCTTATTCCTATTTGTTCATAGCATAGTCCCATTCATTCTGTTATATTTACTCATGAACATAAAATTGTTGGATAGAGTAACTTAACATTTAAAGTTACAAATTGTTTGGATTTCACTGCTGCAGTAAGACTTCCAACAACAAAAAAATTCCTCCATATTCACAGTGATAGAAAAATAGTCACTTTCTAGAAATTAAAAATAAGGAATAGCATTTTGTTTTAAAAGATTTTTGATTTTATTTTTTCAAAATAAAATACACATAATAGACAAAATTATTAATGGGTTGTTCTACATTTACAAACAAGACCACTGTATGAATCTAACAGTGCTGAAATCTTCATCTGTATGACACTCCAGGATCCAAATTTTCTTATATCTTTAGTGGTCTGCTGTTTTAGCAAACTTTTAAGGATCTTGGGATAAATTTTTATGAGACTGAGCATTTCATGTGAGATTTTAAGTAACTGTAAACATAAAAAAAAAAAGAGATCCTTCTTGTCTTGGCATGTAGGAAAAATAAATCCTAAGTGAACATGATTTCAGTCTTGAAATTGGAATTTTTATATTTTACAGAAATTAAAGCTTGCTTCTACTTATACGTAGGTTACAACATTTGAATAGTCAAAACATGGATAAGGATGCTTTTTTGTTTTTTTCAAGAACTACCACGTGAAGTTATAAACTTCAGGGTGTAGTATAAGTTAGTGTAAATAATTAAACAAGCTAAAACAGATTGCTAACAGTCTTCCAATGCATCTTTCTGAGTAACTGTTGGGCATGTGCTTGTATACAATCTTCATAAAAGATAACATAAACAGTGAGTTGCTGTGAGCTAACTTGCTTCAGAACGAGGAGGTTAAAGGAAACAAAGCCCAATCATGACAGATGAAAGAGGGACAAGGCCATTATTTTAAGGTCCACGAGAAAGGGTGGCTAGTGCATCAATTACTTGGGCAACCGCAGGTTATTCTCTCACAGAATAAATCTTTGGGATTTGACACAGAGATGTCTGCAATCCCAGCCTTTATATAGCTGAACCGATCTCTCCCTTCAATCTACATTTTGCATCGTATTGTGTGTCACAATCAGTTAGGGTGGAAGGAAAATACAGAGCAGAAAGAAAGTTGAAAAACTGGCAAGTTCACTATACTTGCCAAATACGAATGGTTCTGTTTGTGCATTTAAACATCACAGTGAAATAATCCAGAATTTGCTTTTATGTATTTGTACACCAGTGAACTTCTACACAGTTTTGGCACCTGTCCTTGATAAAATGAAACCAAGGGCAATGACCAGTCAAATTCACAAGAACCCCATGGAGAAGCAGTTACTTCGTATTTTATAATCTTTATATAATCACAATAGACACTGTAATTTCTGTAAGTATGTAAGTGTTATACATATATATAGAGAATAAAACAGTTGTGATAAACCCATGGGCAAACATTAATTCAGAAAACCGTAAAATATTTCAACATCTTCTTGGTAGCATTTTTTCCCACATGACATTAAAAAAGAAGAAGCAGGGAAGAAGCTACTTTAGGGACAACTTACTTACTTTCATAGTGATATAACTACAGTCAAAAGGTTTCTCTGAAAAAATTCATTTATTCTCTGCCTGAGTGCATTTAGACTTTCACCAGCAGCCTACCATACCTATTTAGCTTACTTCACCTTCCTCTAGCTTAGGCTTGTTAGCAGCAAGAGAACTCTCCCAGAAGTTCTGGTGTCAATGCCGTAACACCTTCTTCTGCAACAGGGTAACCAGACATCTGCAGACAATCCTGAGTCTGCTCTGCCTTCACTCAGGACTGGCTGACACAAGTTGCACAGCTGAATTTGTGCAGGGCATCACCACTGCTATAAACCTCGATAACACAGCCATATGGTTTCCAGATCAGAGCCAGTTATTATCCAGGCAGATTAAGCTTGGGTCTGTCTGAGTATGTCTATATAGACAAATCCCTGCACAGCCTTTATGTACATACCTGACAACTGCAGGATATCTGTCTTGCTAAATACTTATAACCATACGAATTTTCTGAAAAGTCCTACTAAATTACTCACTTGAAAATTTAAAGCAGCTTTTCTAATTATAAACAAAATTAATTAGAAATGTTTCTTATGCAGCAAAATTTTGTATCAAGTAAACCTGGAGAAAAAAACAGAGCCTAAAAAGACTAATTTTATTGAAAGGACTTTTTTTTGTAACATTCACCATAAAAAAACCCCAGATTATTTTACCAAGCTGGTTATTTAACATCTCTGGAAATAAATGGTAATAAATAATTCAAATTGTCACTCTACTACTGTGGGGGAATAGTTTTTATAACCAGCAAGCAACTGATTATTCCACTTACAGGTTCCACACAATTACATTCTGAGTTATACTTCCAAATGTGTGTAACGTGATTTGCATACAGAATTGTACGAGTCCTCATCATGATGCAAAACAACTCTTGGTGAGAGCAAACAACTTCCAGATATGTTTGCAAATTACATTTTACTTTAATACCTTGTTTTCAAAGATTATTCCTTGATACATGGTTTCTGGATAAGGAAACTTAACAATGGTAGATGGATTTTATTGTAAACTTAAAAGCATGAAAAAATCCAGCATGACAGATGCAAAATAAAGCAGTTGCAAATGTATGTTTGTTTGAAGCTAAAATGGTAATAAATTATAAGCAAATAATCTTAAAAAAAATGTTGTCTTTGAAGGAAATTGTCTAGTTCTGACTCACAAGTCTTCTTTTAAACAGGCACAGGAGGGTACTTTTTTCTCAGTAGTTATTTCCTATGTTCTGATTCCTATTTTTGTATTCGAAAGGCTATCTAAAGGCTCTAAGGTATCACTGTGTTCACATACACAACTACCAACAATTTAATAAAAATGCAGAAAAACTTTTTCCATTCCTTCTAACAATGAAAGACAAACTATACCTGTGCTCGCTTCTCCATGTCCTGACAAGTACCTAGTTGTTCTTCCATTGCAGCTCTGATTTGCCTTGCCTCATACTCCAGCTGCCTTCTGGTCATATCTGTTTGCAAGGAGAACTGAAATTGAAGTACAGAGAAGGCATTTTAGTAAATAATGTTTATATAAACTATGTATTTCTCTGAACAAAAGCAGAACAATTGCTTTTCCACACCAAGCTTCATAAACAAACAAAACAGAATAATAGATCCTTAAAATATGACTACGTTATTAAAAACAAGAACACATAAAGTGTTCAACCAACAGACTACCTGCAAGTTTTGTCAAATGACTAAATATAATATATAAACATTGAGACAGTACCAGTCATTGAAGCCTGGAACATCTGGCTACTAATGTATGTCAGCATACCAACAAAATTGTTATGCGTGCCATCTGAATCAATATTTTCAAAAATATTCAGAAGTATCACACTACGGCACATAGTGATGGTATTCATACTACTGCTATCCACCCTATTTGTAACTATCCTGTGAAAAAACCACAAGTGTTCAATTAATGAACACTAACACAGCTTAAGGGAAGACATTCCAACCAGCAGATTTTTCAAGGCAGGAGCAAAGCACTTCACTGGTTTTAGACAATTACTCAGTTTGCAGGTAAATGAGTCTCCAACAGCAGTCCTCCCAGAAGACTTCACCAAGGTCAGTTCAGAGAGTCAAAAAGAGACAATCATCTACAAATACATAAAATGTTACTAAAAAGAATGGGCTCTGTCATTCTATCGTGGCTGGAGCAAGTAGTAATGAATGTATGTGCCCCTCGAATACTGTGTTCAGTTTTGGGCCCCTCACTACAAGAAGGACATTGAGGTGCTGGAGCGTGTCTAGAGAAGGGCAACGAAGCTGGTGAAGGGTCTGGAGCACAAGTCTTATGAGGAGCAGCTGAGGGAACTGGGACTGTTTAGCCTGGAAAAGAGGAGGCTGAGAGGAGACCTCATCGCGCTCTACAACTACCTGAAAGGAGGTGGTAGCGAGGTGGGTGTTGGTCTCTTCTGCCAAGTAACTAGCGATAGGACGAGAGGAAATGGCCTCAAGTTGCACCAAGGGCGGTTTAGACTGGACATTAGGAAAAACTTCTTTACTGAAAGAGTGGTCAGGCCTTGGAACAGGCTGCCCAGGGAAGTGGTTGAGTCACCATCCCTGGAAGTATTTAAAAGAGGTGTAGATGAGGCGCTTAGGGACATGGTTTAGTGGGCATGGTGGTGTTGGGTTGATGGTTGGACTCGATGATTTTACAGGTGTTTTCCAACCTTTATGATTCTCTGATTCTAAATTACCACAAAAGAGATTTCGTGTAGATGTAAGAGCTAAGTTAATTGATTACCTATGAAACTGAGGAGACAATCTTAAAAGCTACAATAAAGTGACACAGATACAGCTGACAGTGCCTTTGGGAATAGGTTGCACTTCCTGGAGATCCTTTTCAGACCTTCTCCCCTTGCTTCTGGTGTTCTGATAAGCTCAGCCATGACTCAGTGTTAGATTTGCTGAAGTCCAGATGCTTCAGCCCAGTCACAGAAGTGTTTCCATTGTCTATACCCATTTCCAGGAGGCTGACTGATTCCTGATCGGGTATGGCTCTGTAAAGATGGGCAACCAGGTCTTCCCAACACCGTACGTGTGAAGGAATGCACTCTAAATATATCCAAGCTGCTGAGGTCTGACAACAGGAAAACCTGTATTATCTGGGATATCAGACATCTTCATTATCCCAGATAATGTTGACGGCTATAAATAGTTTGGAGATCCAAGATAAAAGCCTGGAGCAACAATACCTGCATACGCTACAGCACACTTCACCTGCTGTTATGAATTAAGAGCTCCTGTGTAAATTGTCTCTTAGGCTAATACTGCTCTCAAAACTACAAGAATCCATTAAATAACAGAACGGATGGACAAAAGACCTTTGGGGAGATAGAGTTAAAGAAGCAGTGTACTGACATGGAATTCATTTGTCATAATGATTTTTCAGCGCTCCTCTCTATCACTGACATTTATACTGATAGGTATGAATTTTAATGTGTACAATTATATATGAAAAAATGCATTATTTAGGCTGTTAGCTTTACATAGTGAATAAAAAAATGTTTTAAATTAAAATAATAGTAAAGAATGTCACTAAATTCATAAAATATATATCTAAACAGAGATCATAGCACCAGATACACGACGAAGCATACTGAACGTACTTACATTTTCAGTAAGGGGGAGACTATCAATCCTTTTAGTCAGGTTCTGAAGCTGGGCATAATACCAGTCCTTCTCTTTCTCTTCCTTCTCAAGCTCCGCAAGCAAAAGAGATCTATTAAAAACAGAAGTGGGAAATGTCTCACTAGTAAGACCTCATTACCATATGTAGGTACAGAAATAGACATTGATACCTATAAAAAAAGGTTAAATGAGAAGCAAGCTTTGAAGAGAACACTAAGACGACATTTGAGAAGGTGGGTGTAGTTCCCTGGCCCTGGCTAAACAACATATCTACTCCTCTGTGCTAAGCAAGTCACTAGCTTCTTGTATATCAGGTCCACATCTATAAAATAGGAAAATACCTACATTTCTCTACAAAACCACTTTGAAATCTAAAGCTAAGAGGCATTTTGTGAAAGCAAAAAACAGTTATTAGTCGTGTGCTAACTTGTATCCTGCTTCTTTTTAGACAATATGCTTTGTACAATGCATCAAACCACATTTAAGAAAAGGCCTGCATGTTACAGGAGCATATACATCCCTGAATCACATTACTGATTTAAATTACCTCATCCACCTTTGCAGTGTCCCCTTACTAACTTTGTCACCCATACCAAAACAAAGTAGAAAGCACACAAAATCAAGCCATTTCTATCAGTATTAAAAATACTTTAGAAGAGTATTTTCCATCAAATGTTACAGACAGGATACATTTGCAGCTGTTTAAAACATTTTAAGCGGGTATCATAAGCATACTGCATACCTGAGTAGTATATGAGAAAGATAAGAAGATTAACATATGCAGACTACCAAGAAAAAAAATATATTAGAAATTTTACTCATACTTTTTTTACTAATACTATTTTATCAACCCTTTATGAACTACATTTACATAGTTGTAAATTTTATCAATATAGTTACACAGTGTTCATCGTTACAACAGTTTTCAAAATAGGTATTGAAATTTTCAGGCAAAATCTGGCTAGTAGGAATATGCAGAAAACCACTCGTGTTTTTTTGTGGCTGTGGGGTTTTTTTTTTGTTTGTTTGTTTGGTTGTTTGGGGATTTTGTTTGAGTTTTTTTGGTTTTGTTTTTTGTTTGTTTGGGTTTTTTAATACAAGTTTATTAGTTCCTTACAAATGCTTTCTGCGAGCACTCTTCTTCCTTCTGACGTTTAAATATTGCTCATTAACGTTAACGGAAATGCTAAAATCAACACTTAGCCAGAAGACAGAAAGCTGCATACAAGTTTGCCCAGTATTATTTCCTATCCCTTAACTTCTGCATCCCTCTCTAAACTCAGGTTGTGGTCTTTCTGAGCAAGAGCCATATGAACCTTCATAAAGCACACAAACACACTATGGATAATTACTGTAAGTCGATAAGGAACAAAAATACAGCATACAACAAAAATACAGATTTCCCCTGATTACTTTGATAATGCATCCCATTTGAAATGAAGATAATCAAACTTCCATACGACAGAACTTCATGTAGAAGAAAGAACTTAAAAATATGTATTTTAAAGGATCTGTTTGACTTAGATACTGCTTTAAAAAATGTTTCAAATTAGTTTTGATGACTTAACATTTATACTCCATACCCAATGCAAGTGATCTGACCAGTGTTCAAATGGAAAATTAAAATTGACAGGATCCCTCGCTACAACTGCAAGAGACTGAAAAACTACACACATCTAAGAGTGCTAAACGTTTTTAAACATGAACAGAATGATATAAATTTCCAGATTGGATTCAACAGTTATGTTGAAACAGAACTGTTTTAACAATGTAAAGATTACACATTAAGTCACTTACTGGGCAGCTTTTACATCAGACAGGTTTACAATCAAAATCAGTGAAAAAATGCAACAAACCACAATTACCATTACAGGTAACTGTGGCAGGATTACAGGAATACAGTAATTCTTCAGCCACAAGTATGGGGCTGGCAGGAATTCCTTAAGTCTTTTAGACAGACTGAAGGAAAAGCTAATAGATGGTGCTTGGGGAAAGCCTGTGAGGAAAGTCATTTTTTCGGCCTCCCGCCTGCCCCTCCTCTTAACACATACCCTGGGTGCCTGATCTCTGCGCACAAAGGCATTCTGCATGGGTCCCCTTTTTAGCACCTTGGGTGCCCATGCACCGGTTACGTCCAGTTTGCAAAATCGAATTTGCAAAAGCATAGTTAATGCAATCTCTATAAAAAGTATTTTTACCATATGAGGATTTGCAAATGTGAAAGGACTGACTAATTCTGCCTCTGGAAGTCAAAGAACTGCTAGTAGAAACCAGAGGGATTACCTTCAGCTAAGTGAACATGTGACTAAGTTTCTCTTGTAAAATGTAGGGTATTCAGTTTGTGAGACACTGTGTCATTCAATCTGTTTTGACATGCACAACAGATGCTAGAAGCAAGAAAAGAACTTAGTGCTCCATAAACAATATAATGCATGACCTGAGGGTGACTCCATTAATTTAAGAGTGTCATTTTTGCTTTATTTGGGATAACTAGTTTGCTGTCACTGCTCCATGAGAATTCAGGTTTTAACGATGTCTTTAAGGTCTCTCTTTAAGCTTGAAGGGTTGGTACAACTGTAGCAGGTTGCCCTTCAATTTCCTTGATGATAAGCAGCAAGTCTCCGTAGATGTGTCTGATAAGCTGTTCCCCACATTTAACATTACTGTCGGATACTATACCAACCAGAAGTATCACTCCTTCTCAGTCTTCTGGAACTTCTTGAGGTTAGGAGAACATTTAAGATAGAAGAGCCGTTACAGGTCATTGAAGAAAATTGATCCATCTTTTTATACCCCCAAATTGTTTACACCAGGACTTTCACAGTATCAGAGAAAACTCTGAGAATGTAGCAAGGTGAATGAAGCAAGCTTTTGCAACTTTACACTATTTTTATGAGTTAACAAAAAGTTTCCAATTTGAACTGCTTTTCTAAAGGATGGGTATTTCAAAAGACTTCTCTAATGTGATATTTTTGAAGCTCCCAACAATAGATGAAGCTGAATGAATGCAAAAAATTGGCTGCTTCTTTTGGAAATTTTTCTGCATAATCATGTTAATGTTATTCCCAGTTAAAAGGGAGAAGGGAAACAAACTACATGCTACGCACATTATGTAAATTACAATTATAATTAATACTTCCACTTCAATTGGTAGGTGATAAAATAAAATCTTGAAAATGAAACACTGCTGATAGATGCTGTAAAGACTGAGGTAAGTCATACAGTCAGCCAAAGGGAGATAAGAGTAGGGGAAGAAAGAAGTCATGAGACAGAAAATGCTCAAAATCTACATTAGGAAAATAAAAAAGGAGTGGCATAAACCACAAGGAATAAACAAGGCATACAAACATTTTCATAAAAAATTCATCATAAGAATGTCATCTTTGGTGGTAAATTACAGAATCTACAAGGTGAGATTATTAAATGTATTGAATTGCAATAGGCAAACCAACACAAAAAGTAACCTGCGGTGTATTCTGAAAAGTTCTGTTGTTGATATAGTGTCTTACCAAATACACTTGGAAATAGCCAGAGAGAAAGCAGGAGATACTTAATGAACAGTGTATTCTAAATTGGTAATCTAAAAACATACACCCCCCACTTTTTTCTCTTTTCTTTTTTTGACTTTGAAATTAGAGGAGAGCAAAGCAAATGAGAAACAGGCAGACATTTTCATCTTCATTCTGGTAAATGAATCAATTGATTAATTTTCTTCCCCTCAGAAGATCACTTTTAACGAAGCTAAACAATTTTTTCAATACAAAACAAATTTTAGCATGTTTCTTACTTGTTTACCTTAAAAAACATTTAGTGAATTAGTTTATTAATAAACATCTCGTGAATTTGCCAAGTTCACAGTTAATATATGATTTGGTACTCGCCCAAACACTGTTGCCCATGAGCAGCATGTATCATGCCAGTGTGTTAAGATACTGAGTGTGAAATGTTCCCCTGCCACAGGTTTCTGAAAAATGTTATCTTCTTCTAAATAATTTTAATATTTCGAGGCTTGTAAAGTTCCATGAGTTCTTTGAAAGTCTGTTTAAGTGCCAAAAAAAATTCTATTAACAAATGTGTGTGGTTTTTT